ATATAATTTATGAAAGTCTCTCTAAGCTTCTAACAATTTAGGTTTTATTTGTGATGATTTTTTTATTGTTTTGTAAAGTAATGATTCAGGTTTCATTTGGGGCAGCTTTGTTACTGTTTTTTAAAGCATTTTTTTAGTGCAAAATTAAAATTTGTGCACTAAAAAATTGTTTTAAGAAGCAGTAAGAAAGCTGTCTCAAATGAAGCCTTAATATAAAAAAATTCTTAAAATAAAAATCTTTGCACTAAAAAGCAGCTTTTGAAAGCATTAAAAAAACTATCACAAATAAAAACTTAATAATATCTATGAATGAATAATTAATTTCGAACTTCAAAAGCTAAGTACCATCACCAATGATAGTAGGATACTCTAAACTTAATAATTATTTATTAGTGTCCCATTAAATTAAATTTATAAATTTTTTTGGATGTTCTAACAATTTAATCAAAGTCTAATGATTTTAGTATGGGTTTTGTTAGTTATTAGTATTTAAATCATGATTTTATTGAATTGAACTTGATAATAAAATCATTCTCACACTTAAATGTGGTCCCAATTAAAGTTGGAGATCTTAGTTGAGGGATTCCCCAAAGAAACTTCCACCAATATTAGTGAAAAGAAAAAGATTAGACATTTATTAGCTTAAAGTTTTTTTTTCCATAAATTAGTGAGGGATAGTTAGTTTTATTAATCTAAGCTTACATAAACAATTACAATTTATTTTTAAAATTGAGTTCAAATATTTATTTGATAGAAAGTGGATACAAATTTTTTTTTTTAAATAAACTTAATAAATATAAACAAATGTGATTTAATTATGATGATTTAAAAGTACACCTTAATTTTATGCTTTCCATATATTAATTATTCTATGCGGATGGCAATCGTCTGGAGATCAACCAGAATGCATCACATCATCTTTGTACTCGGTATCGCGGATCGGTACAGTTCGGTACCGCCGACATGAAACATTCTGATTGTTCTCCAGACAGATTATACGTCCGATCTCCGCACAGAATAATATCTCCATGTGGGCCACCCAGAGACCATTGATAGCTTCACGGTAGCCCCACCACTGTTCCGAATTCAACCCCGCCAACTAACTGTCCCCCACATATCTCTGATTTATAAGCATACGCCCAAAGAAAATTAAGTGCTGAAAGCAGACGTCCAGTTATCGTCCGTTAACTACCGCAAATGAGGTTATCTTAATATGATTTTGCTTAACTATTTTCTTCCGTAAGAACAGCCAAAGCGGCCGAAATCAGTATTTTTTAAAAAAAAATTCCTCAACAAAGTTCACATGTCTCCTTATACCCTTCACTATATAAGTCCTAACTAAACTGAATCTGCCATCAGAAGCTTAATTACTTCCTGACCATGGACTGGTACTCATGGCTCTTAAAATCTTCGAGGCTCGACCGGAATCTGGTCTACGAGTACTCTGTCCTTCTTTCCCAGAACGAGCTCGAGGAAGATGACATCGCCCACTTCGACCACGAGTTTCTCCTCAGCATGGGCATTGATGTCGCCAAGCATCGCCTCGAGATCCTCAAGCTTGCTAAGAGCCACCGCCGTTATCACCGCCCCGGCCGACCAGTCGCCGCTCTCCTGACAGTCATCCACGAAGCCTGCAACTGCTTAACAAGGTAACTATAACATTTCGACCGCATCTCTAAGCATAGGAGGAATCAGAGAGGGACTAAAGGTGACTAATTTCGCCTCATAGGTTTTTAAAAATTTTACATAATTGGTCATTATATATAATATGGAAATTTCATCTTTAAATTTTCGACCCTCCCTGTAAAATTTGGGGTAAATTATTTTGCTGTGATCCATGGCAGGTATGTTCATGATCTAGTCCACCATCCAAGAAAGGCAGTGGTGATTATGCCGGGGCCAGGAGGAGGGGGGCGACAGATGGTGAGCGGTGGGATCAGGAGGCTGGCTATGGCGAAGAAAGGAAGGTTGCGGATCACTGATGTAGTCTGCAATGGAGTTAAGGCAGTTCAGCTCGGTCGGAGCCCAGCTTCACAGAGCATGAGCCCTGTAGTCGGCAATGAAGTTAAGGCAGTTCAGCTCTGTCGGAGCCCAGCTTCACAGAGCTTGAGCCCTGTAGTCGGCAATGGAGTTAAGGCAGTTCAGCTCTGTCGGAGCCCAGCTTCACTGAGCTTGAGCCCTGTAGTCGGCAATGGAGTTAAGGCAGTTCAGCTCGGTCGGAGCCCGGCTTCACTGACCATGAGCCCAATGGCACTGCTTGCTTCAAGGGAAGAAGGCCATGATGATGGCTTTACTTGGATTGGGTACAACGATACAGACCAAATGAGGTGGGACTCCATGTTTCAGGATCTGAAGCCTACCTGACTGGATGAGCTCTCCTTTTGAAGATTTCAGAAGGTTCTTATCAGCTACAGAATCAAGATTTATTCGAAAGAACGAAGTTTTAACTAAATTTTGAATCAAAATTTTCATATAGTGATAATTAGTTTATGAGGAAAAAGAATTGGTACCATCAGCTCCACTGTTTCTACCACTAGCTCTGATCTGTTTTGGTGTCTCTGCTTTAGCTTTTTGGAATCCAGCTTTTGAGAGTGAGGTGTGAATGGCTAGATTTACTTGAAGGTGGAGTGTTTAGGCTTTTACTTTGCTTTTGTGGAAGAATGACTGTAAGAAATGCTAGTGGGAAATTATTATGCTAAAGGGGAGGTAATATTTTTTTTTTCTTCCATGGATTGATTAATTTGCTTGATGGTTAAGTCAGGTAGATGGAAGTACTGTGGCATTCCACAAGATAAAAGAAGAGGTGATGGCCTGTCTCAGTCACAAATTAAAGTTTTAAGAATATTATGCCAACTTTAGAGTATCTATTCTGCAGCCAAAACAAAAAAATTATAACTACCGGCATTGGAGACTTTGGCTAAGTTGGAAAGAGATTTGGTTTCATATATTATGGGCTAAAGCTAGCTTAGAAAGTAAGGCTTTTTTTTGTTTTATTCTGCAAGTTGTTCTTATTCTACAATAGCTAAGGTATGCTATTGATATTTTATTATGATGGCGTCAAAAAAGACTTGAAGTGAAAGCCTTATTAGGTATGAATTGATTTCCCTTGAAGGGAAAAAATGTTATAAAAAATGCAAAGAATTTGTTATGTTAAGCTTCAATTAAACTTACATATTTACAGGAAAAAATGTCATAATATGGTGTATAAAATAAGAGAATTCATTAACCTTTTCAGAATTCCAATGTTGAATTATGAAAACCCTCAGAATTATATTCCTAACAAGATAACTTTCATAGTGAATAACATTGAAACAAACAATCTAGGCTGAAGGTATAATGATAGTTGATAAGTCTGGATCATGACTCAGGCTTCGTTTGGGATTACTTCTTGATGCTTTTTAAAACAGTTTTTATATTAAAATTAAAAATTTGTACTAAGAAGCTGCTTCCAGAAGAAGAAAGAAAGTCATCACAAAAAAAATTTCAGGCTTCATTTGGAACAGCTATTTCATAGCTTTTTATAATAATTTTTTAGTACAAAAATTTCTTGAAAACGGCAAAAAAGTATTGATCAAATGCTATCCCAAATGACGCCTAAACCAGATAAAAGTACTGCATAATCTAACCTTGGTAATGATGGGCTAGCTCCAACTGAGTTCAATAAAAAATGGCCACCTTCTTATAAGAAGGCTTAAATGCAGAGTACGTTTAGAGATCTGAAAAAAAAAAAAAAAAAATAATAAAGGTTTTTGCAGCAAATATCATCATTATTAATATCAGGCTTATCTGAATATTTTAATGTTTGTAAATGTTTTAAATGTAAAATGAGCCAGTGATTGAACTGGATGCAATCATGCAGTTAATATCCTCTGATTGCTTATAATTCTCGATTATTTCCCATTAAAACAACATTATGATACATAATAGTTTGAGAGTTATCACTTAATGAACCATTATTCTTACAAATGATGACGACCAAAATAGGGACAAAGCACACTATTCTTCACAGGGTAAGTAAGTCAGTGCCAGTGAAATTTACAGAAATATAAGGACGATTAATTACAAAATATGAACTATAGTGTAGAATGGCTTTGTCTTCTCTTTGGGGGACATATTTTTTGGCGGCATGTCATAAATCTTAAACAATTTCAATAGAAATGTAAGAAGTAGAGCAATACCACCGATGCTTAGCTTGGTTGTAGGCGAGTACAGTTAGGAACCCCCCAACCCATGTTCGATTCACTCGAGCAGTAGCGCCTCTTAATGGGGCCCCAATCAAGTGCACCTTTCATGGTGTCAACGGGTGGATATCCTAGTTCAAAAAAAAAAAAAGCGAAGTAGAAAGCAACACCTAATTTTAATTTAAAAAACTGATTTAAAAGCCAAATGAACTCAGAATATTGCAAATTTACAGCTAAAAAGACAAACCTATCTCAATAATTCCAAATACTACAAAAATACCTTAATCTTAAAAGCATATGTGGTAGGATCTGAGCAAACCAAACTAAAGGAAGAAGGGGCCGATCGAGTTAACCTCCTACTCTGTGATTAAAGGGGGAGGGGGCACACACAATATGTGCATGTGGTTATACCATTACCTAAAAAACAAGCTCTTCTGTAATGGTGGTGATTGTTTATTTCAAGGCACATTCATTTTATTGCAATTCATTTAATAAGATTTCAACTTCTTGCAGTTATTGTGACATTTATAGAACTTTGCTTCATGAGCTATTTACAATGAATGATTACACTTAACGAGATGAAGTTTCTGATACAAAAATATTAGCATATCATTATGATTTTATAATGATCCTAAATTTGATCAACTAATCTTCTTGGATTTTATTCAGGCAAATTGTTGGAATTTTAATCATTAGCTCTACTAGAATTTGGGAAGGGGGATTTCAAGATTTACACAATGGTAAATTTAATTGGTGAAATAGGGACATTATTGATAGCATTCCCAAAGAGATTAGTTAAACCACCATTGTTAGTCCTAGACCAGCAACATAAGTCAGTCCCTGCTTAGGGAGGTTAATCGAGTTAACTTCATGATAAGACCATTTAATCACTTCTCAGTAAGGATGAATGTGGTTGGATTCATTCATTAATAATAAAAGTGCTAAACATTTCAATATAATTTGAATAAGGACAAAAAATACTCCTTCAAAATCTATAAATTGACCCTAATTTTACTCATATAAGACATTCATTCAAAATGTTTGAATTCTTGAATTTTAGAAGAATTATGGAGCTCTGGCCACCACTTGAAGATCCTTTTCATCGTCTCCTAAGTCTAAGATCATGGCTTTCATCACGTCTGAGAAGACTGTCTTGATTGTCCTCAATCACCACCATGACCTTCATGCTTAGCTTATTTTGCAAAAATCACAAGTTTTCAAATATTGTGAGGTGCAAAGGTCATTGAGGCTTGGAAACTTAAGTACTCAATCTAGAGATAAGTAACAAAGAAGGTCTAGGTTATTTCTCATAATATTGAGGGAGAGTTTAATCTTCATAATTATTAATAGAGTTAAGAGAATAATTATTAATTATGACTTAATATAATGACAAAGAGTTTAATATCATAATATTTCTTATTTTATGGATGCTTTTGTAGATGTGTCAAAATGTTGCATCCATTTCTTGAATTGTGAAATAGATATTAGGATTAAATGTAGGCCTTAATTTTGATGTCTTTAATTGGCGGCCTCTATTCTAGGATTTACATATCACATATCGAAGCTTTTGTGACATATCTTCTCATTTAAGGTTTAACGAGATATGTAGAACTAGCGCATATTCTCTCGGCGATGAGAAGAAGGAGAAGAAGACCTCTTTATTTGGATTCTCTCTGAATATGATGTCAATCTAATTTTAAAATAAGGTCGTCTAATATTTTTATCCTTTGATTAGAAAAATAAAATATAAAACAATTTTAACCTTTTAAAATTAGTTCCATGAAATATAGCAATTAATAATATCTACTATTATTTAAACTACTAGTAATTTTAAATTATTATATACGCCTAATCTACAAAGTTACTATAAAATAACAATTATTTTCCATCATGCTTTGCATGAGAATTTTTTTTATTATTATTAAGAAATGAAAGGTGGGGAGTAACAAAGAAATGATCAGAATATTTCCAGCCTATGCCGTCATACAAGGAGCCACTTCAACCAGAAGAGTAGCAGAATGCTGCTAATGATTGTGCTTATCATGTCAGTAGGAAGTCCATGCTTATATCTATATACAAACTTTCAATAGTGTCTTGTACAAAACCTTCATAATTATATTGTATTTTTATTTTTTTCATTTTTTTCAAAACAGCTAACAGCTAGTAGGCACGTTGAATGGCCGGTTTCAGCTGTTATATAGGAGAAATTATTACGTGCGGAGTCTGGACATAGAGTTATGTCCGGACTCCAATAAAAATATGACGTGTTCTTATACACAGTGTCAATATACATACTATGTGCGCATTATGTATTTTGTACACAATAGTATAATTTGTACACAGTGTATACAGTTGTACACAATGTGTATAAATTTATACACACCATGTCCAAGACCAAATATCACGCTTTTATTGGAGTTCAAATATAACTCTATGTCCGGACTCCGCACATAATAATTTCTTGTTATATAGAGACAATGGAGAGCCAAGAGAGATGAACATGCTATGTCATCATTTAGGGTTTGCTATTCACGTGAAGATTATGACATCCTAAGATGATGCTAAATGGAAGGATCTTATCAACGTCCATAAATTATAAATCATAGATCAAATTGCCGAATTGGAAAAATTGGGTGCTAGCATAGTATCAGCTAAGTTCATGAGCTGAAGATAAGCGGACTCAAACTGCTGACATCTGTCACAGGGTAAACAACCGCCTCTCAGGCCTCTCCGACTGATTCTACCATAAAGGCCAATGATAGACAATAACTCACCCCGAACACAGCTTACAACTTTCATCATATTGTGCTCTCCAATGAGTAACTCTTCTCAAAATCTCAAAGGGTGTTGAGTTGGAATACAATTATAAGGATTCTTGTGGTTCCGAAGAATCCAGCTACAGAAGAACCAAGAACAAAGAGCTCTCCCCATTTTCCGCCCGTTTTCAGAATGAGTGATTGCCCTTCTCTGACCTGTTCTGCCCAACAGGAGAGCAGACAACAAATGCCTTCCACTTATTGAACAAGGTTCATTGTCGGTCCATGACCCATCTAGAACAGCATTGTCGTTTATTCTTATATTTTCTTTTTCTTGAGGTTCTAAAATGTTGGTTATTTTTAGTTCTTTTATATTTCAACAGCAGCAACAACAGCTAATTCATTATCCTTATGCCATAGTGTTTGTTTTTCCTGGAATAGTGGTATCGGCTAAGTCAACGTCTGTTAGAGCTGAAGAACTTTATGAAATAAATGGCCTTATTTAATATCATGAAAGATCTTTGAACCGCACAAGCTAAGTTTGCCATATTGGTTTTGCAATATGTGAAATGAAAAAATATCAGATGAATTTTAATAATAATGTAAATTCAAATATTATTTAGAGAGATCAAGTTGTGACTCCTCTATATGTCTTATAACATATATACATTGTAAATGGTCAGAATTTGAGAAATTTTCCACACATTTTAGGATAATTATGTTTATTACTGTAAGTTGTTGCATATTATATATGATAATTACACTAGTTCTTTTAACCT